TGCTGCCTGCACCCCATGCTGCCTGCACCCCGCGCTGCCCAACCGGGCTCGGGCTCTGCCTCCCGCAGGCAGCAGCGCAGCTCCTGCCGGGGCTGCCGTTCACAAGCAGAACTGGTGCCAGCCCAGCCTGCGGCACGGCTAGAGGACAGTAGTGACATATTTTACCAGCCAAACTAACGAAGCTAACGGGGACATTAATCAGCCAGCGCGGTGCAGCGGGCAGCATCGTAAGACTGGGCTTTCGTCAGCCGCTGCGGGCGGCCGGGTACAAGGGCTGCGAGGAAAACTGCTGCGGGCCATGAGCCACGTCTGCTGCCTCAGCGTTGGGACAGCCAGGGCGCAGAGGGGACTTATTCCCCAGCCCTTGCTTGGTTATTACCTGCTGTGCCCAGCTGCTCCCGGCTGTGGGAGCGGGGCTCTGCTGGGTTCCCAGGGGATGGATCCAGCCCTGGGGAGTCACGTGGCTGGAAAGCTCCCCCCGGCTGGCAGTGCCAGGGCTGGAGCATCCCTCCCTGCCCCCCGGACCCCCTTGGCACCCAGAGCCAAAGCACGGCAGAGCCGACCGGGGGCATTTCCCGGGCACTTTGCACCATTACAAGCAGGCAGCGGTGTCCAGTCAGGATGGAGGGGATCAAGGGGGGGCTGGTTCCTCGCCTACCTCTATCGCCACGCTCCTGCCAAGAGCCGAAATCCTCGTCCCAGCAGCAGGAACCTCTATCGCACGCTCCTGCCAAGAGCCGAAATCCTCGTCCCAGCAGCAGGATGCTTGGCAGACCATTGCTCCGCACCCAACCCACTTCCTTCTGTGGTGGCAGTAGTACCAAGGCAGGCAGAAAGCAGGTGAGCTCTGCCTGCAGGTTTGGGGCTCTGCAATTACTTGCTGAGGGGCCAAGGAAATCCTCATTAATTTGCAAGGTTTACCTTCCCCCCTGAGCAAAGCTGGCATGCGGGAAGGTGGGCACGGGTCCTGAGGGGGGCTCCGCCAAGCAGCACAAGCATCTCTGAGACCACTCGTGACCGGGATGACTGAAGTGCCAATAAATTATACATTTGGGTCTTGTCTCCAAATTGCTCTGCAATTATTGAGCACCAAGGTTCAGTTGCCTTCAAGCACCACCTCACATCTGACCTCGGCAAAACACACTGAAGGGCTCACGTGGTTCCCCCAGCACAGGAGAACAATCAGCCCATTAAAAACAGCAAATTAACGAACACAAGAGTTCCATTAGGAGAAGGCGACCGGACTATCCAATTTCATCACATCATTAGCATTTCTTATCAGAGGGACAGGAAAAGAATAGGGCTTTAAAATACAGGGGAATGGGATGGAGTCTAATGACCACAACAGGGCGATGTGCCCGGGGGCCCGTGTCCCACCGGAGGGCTGTGGCGCAGGCGCTAACCTCTGTCCCCCGTCATGGGGCAGCCCGGGCATGGGGGGGAGCACAGTCCTGCACCCTGCTGAGCACACTTGGGTGCACAGCACAGCTTCCCCCTGAAATGCTTCTGCTGAGACCTGGAAATGTGGCGGTGTGCAGGACCCAGTGCATGGCATGCAGGATCTAGTGCACAGTGTACAAGATCCAGTGCACGCTGTGCAGAACCCAGCACGGCATGCTCCCTGGACCTGCTGTCACCCAAAAGCCAGCCGGGGTGCGGGGACCACGTGTCTTCTCAGAAAACCCCGTGTCCCTCCATCCCCACCCTCGGCTCCACAGGGTGCCAGCAACGGGTGACTGCTGCCACCGCAGAGCAGCTCCTGCAGCTTCACACCCTCGTGCCTCCCCGGCGCAGGCAGCGGGCAACAGCACCAACCAGGGACACCAGCATGAACACCAAGGGGCACCGGGCACCCTTGGTGCTGGCATCCCTCGAGCCTTTCAGCTTCCACCCCTAGGAGTGTACTGTGGCGGGAGCTTGGCATTGCTGCCTCGGCAGAAGT